CTGAGCGTCACTCACAATACACACACTAAGTGCTACCTATTATGCAAGATCTTTGTCTAAAACTTTAACATTACCTGTTTAGGTGAAACCATCTCATGAACCACTGGATGATTTTAATGAAACTTTCAAAATGTATATTGGATGTTGGATAAAGAGACTTGGATATTATATTGGGATTACAGGAATAGCTCTAAAGTGGTTTAAATCATATTTATTTGATAGATTCCAGTTTGTAAATGTAAATAATGAATCTTCTTCATACACCAAATTTAGTCATGAAGTTCCTCAGGGTTCAGTGCTTGGACTAATACTCTTTACTATATATATGCTTCCACTAGGTAATGCTATTAAACAGCATGGGATAAATTTTCATTGTTATGTTGATGATACACAATTATATTTGTCCATGAAACCCAATGAAGCCAATCAGTTACTTAGACTACAAGCATGTCTTAAAGACATAAAAACCTGGATGACCTTAAAATTTCTGCTTTTGAACACAGACAAGACAGAGGTTTTTGATTTTGGACCTGAACATTTTAGGAATACATTTTTCAGTCTTTCCCTTCCTCTGGGTGGCTGGAAGGTTTTAATGAGGCATTAATTTGGCCTCCAGTTCTAATGTAAAAAAAAATCTTGGTGGTATTGCTGATCAGAACGTTTTTTTAAACCCCATATTAAAAACAGTTAACAGGATGACTTTCTTCCACACGCAAAATATTACTAACGTTAGAAATGTCTTATCCAAAAATGATGCAGAAAAGCTGGTCCATGCATTTCTCACATCTAGGCTGGACTATTGCAATTGTTTATTATCCAGGTGTCCAAATTTATTAATTTTTTTAAGTCTTCAGTTGATCCAAAATGCTGCTGCCAGAGTATTAACTGGAGTTAGTAGGAGAGATCATATCACTCCAGTTTTAGCTTCTCTCCATTAGCTCCCTGTCAAATTCAGGATATAATTCAAAGTCTTACTTCTAACCTACAACACTCTCAACAACCTAGCTCCATGTACTATTACATATATTATTGTTACATACTTTCCTAACAGAGCACTTTGCTCTCAAACTGCAGGTTTACTTGTTGTTCCTAGAGTTTCAGTTATCAGGCTCCTCTCTTGTGGAACCAACTTCCAGTTTCTGTCCGTGAGACTGACACATTGTCCGGTTTTAAGACTTTCCTTTTTGAAAAATCCTATAGTTAGGGTTGGCTTGTGTTTCCTGAGCTATCCCTTAGTTATGCTGCTATAGGCTTAGACTGCTGGAGGACAAACTGACCACATTTCCTCTCTCTGCTGCTGTGTTTACTTGCTCTACTCTACCTGTTTGTGTTTGTCATCATTTCTTTTTTTAACATGAGTTTTATACAAATACACCTGGATCATTCTGGGTTTGTTTCTCCTTCCTGTCCTCTCAAACCATCCAGTCAAAGCAGATGGCCACTCACCCTGAACCTGGTTCTGCTGGAGGTTTCTTTCTGTTACAAGGGAGTTTTTTCTTCCCACTGTTGCCAGTGTGCTTGCTCAGGATGTGACTGTGACAAAGAGAAGATTCAATGCAATCTGCTGGCTTCCTTAGATACATACATTTTGCTAATGAGCCTTTTCCCCTCTTTTTATGTATGTGAATGTTTTTGTACAGTGCCCTGAGACAATTTCTGTTGTGACTTAGCACTATATAAATAAATAAACCCAATATTCATTTACGACTGATTAACTTTTGGAGTCAATATAATTTTAAATGACCACCACAGCTAACTGATACTGCCAACACACACACACAAAAAAAAAACAGCTATAATTCAGTCTTAATGTGCTTCACTTTGATTAGGTAGTAGCTGAGAGTCATGTCACCATGCATAATGTTATTTTTAAGGATTGACCAAAATAACTCCAACTGTCATTTCTCCACATAATATAATATTGGTGTAAAGCTTTGGCATGAAAGTTGGAGGATGAAATGCATTTCTTGAAGAAATGCTAGACATTTTCAATGCCTTTGTTAGCAGCTTGTCTTTTTTGGTAATGATTTATTTTAAATCCATCAAATTTCCCAATTACCTTTTTGTTCCACCACATGTACCACAAGTGGTGCGTACAGCAAATAAAGAGCCTTGAATCCTTGAAAAAGAAGCCACTTAAATCTAAACAAATAGCTTCTATCATTCTACTTTAAAATTACAAGACATTACAAAATAAAAGAAAATATCAATCTCCTGTATCTTGCAGGCTAAATATAATTGTAATGAGGACCAGATCAGGCCCATGGGTCTTGAGTTTGACACATGATGCAAAGTGCTAGTTTTGTGTTTGGACCACAGCAGAGATTATAAGCCATGCAGCACTGATAACTTGTATCCACTCATGCTGTGAGTTTCATGATTTTATGTGCATCATGTCTCATATCACTTCTGTTGCAGTTCAGCTACTTTACGTTGTTTTCATCAACCTCAACTCTCCAGACCCACACCAGCCAGTCCAGCATCATGTTTCTGAACCCCTGATTCTCGCTGTAACAGCAGCTCGAACAGCAAAGCATAATTACAGTCAGTCATACATGTGCTTCATCCATCCCCGCTTTTCAGGGCTGTATTTTTCAGCTCAGCGTTTTCCTTTTTTCCTGCATGCGATGCCTTCTTTTTGTCATGGCCCCCATAGTTCTAAGCTGACCCCCTCAGCCCTGTCTCCTGACTGATCACAGTGATGGTTTATTACTGTCGTCCCAGCGCTCTTATCTTTAGCAGGCAATGCTCATTTCCTTCCCCAGATTTAAATGCAAATGTGAAATTTAATGATAAATGCATTATCTGATGAGTGCGATAACACTGATTCACTGTCAGTATAAAATACACACCCCAGGGGGCTTTGAGCTAGCAGGCACAACTTGCCCAAATCCACTTTTTTCTCCAGTTCCATCTTTCCCTTTTTTCCTCTCACTCTTTTTTAAAACTCGTGTACCTGTATTAAATTCTTGAGGTCATTTCATGCATTAAACAGAATCGTATTTTGTCTGTTCAGCTATGCGTGTGCAGGCTTTGCTGAGCAGTAATTGCAGTGCAACAATCTTGCTCTGTGTCTAATTCATCACTTTGATGAAGTTATTTGCTGTTTAAAACTCTTAAGAAAAGCAATATCTATGTTGGATTACGGAACACACTGTGACACATAATTTGTGTGTTTCAATCTTGTTTACAGAACTGCAAAGTGAATGCCAACTTTTTGCACATATTAAGTAGTTTGCAACAAAGCATGACCCTGCAGCAACGTATAAAAATCAACCTGAAGACAGTCTTTTCGGGGTCTTGGTGAGGTCTTCATGTGTGTATTAACTGGCCTTCCCAGTATGTGTGATGGAGCAGAGTTCTGAAAATACACAAAGCGTCTGTAGTGAGGTTGATGGGGTCATTATCGGGTGGAGCACATGGTAGGTAGCATGATGATAGCATCTTTTAAACATAAAGGTCAGTTTGAACCAAAGTGACTTGGTCGTTGAGAAATTGAAGCCGGACTGGCCACTTTGATCATAGAAACAGTTGAAAATAGGATGGAATCATTTTCATTGGATGACTTGTATACAGTAGTCCCTCGTTTATCACGGGGGATCCGTACCCTGAAGCCCTGCAATAAGTGAAAAACTGTGAAGTAGGAACAATATTCTAAACAATGTTTCTAAACTCTAAACGCTCTAAAAGAGCACAGAATGTCATGATTTCAGCTCTCTGCCTCTGGCTGCACTCTCGGCCACGCCCACTTCTCCGCTTTGCACGAAGATCAGCTGCAGGAGGAAGCGTCTCCCACAGCTGTGGGTTGCACACAAGTGCCAAATCATTTAAAATAATTTATTTTAAATAAAAATGTCACGCCGATCATGTGGCTCATCCATCAATCAATCAATTGTGTGTCATGTCCAATCTTATTTTGAAAAACCGCGATAGAGCGAGTCTGCGAAAAACGAACGAGGGACTACTGTACAGTGAAACTGGGAGAGCCTCGCTAGTTTGATGCATCTGCAACATCAGCCAAACCTCAGACGTGAGACCTCTGGCTGTGGCTCCATATAAGTGTAATCTTGTAGAGTATAGCTGCATCCTGACCATAGGCTGTATATATTATTAACCAAGTGTCCCCCATGCTTGCTGTTGTTTTTGTTGAGTTGAAGCCAGCAGGACTGATGAAGTCTTTTGGAAGAAGATGAAATCTTTAAAAGAAAAAAGAAAAAAAATCATCCAGAGTTCCTGACTTAACTTTGTTAGATTTTTCTTCCTGGATTATTGAGCATGAATCTGGATATTTTCAACCAGAAGAACCTAGTTTTCAAGGGTTGTCATGTTGTACTTTTGGAACCAGAGTCTGTGTATGAGCAATGTAGGTCCCACCTACTTTCCCACACAAAATCATGGCGTCATCAGTGCTTTCTAAAGCATGAAATCATTAATTACAACTAAACATACTGATAAAATGAACATTTAAACTTACAGCAACAAGGACTACATGAATCAACCAGGGTCAACACCTGAAAAAATGTCCTAAGGAATTTATATATATTTACTTGTTTTACTGAAGACAATGAGTTTTTTTTATTTACATGGATCTTGAAACGTTTTAAGAAACCAGCTTACAGAAAAGCAGATCTCATTCTGCCACCAACTTCCAGCTTCCCTTGGAAGTCTACATATATAAGCAATCAATGATCCTGATGTGAGTTGAGAGTCAAGCTAGGGCTATGCCTGAGGTGTGGTGCGATTGTGGGTGTGGCAATAAGAAAAAGCATCTCATGGATGTGGAAAATAAATAAAACCTATTTAGTGATTTGGTGAAGACACACTCATGATTTCCTTCACAACGAAGAAGGATTTCCAAATCTGCTGCAATCCAGTCACGTTCTTAAAAGTTGTAGAGAGCATTTCAGGTCCATCGTATTGTTTTAAAAAGGGCCCAAGTAACAATAACTCAACCAAATGACCCTGAAAATCTAGTAAAGTGAAGTGAAGCGATCTCTTACTTGGACCGTCCCATTCTTCAGGCCCAACAGCAGCATTCCTACTCTTCTCACTTTGAACCTCCATCTCTACCGCTCCTCCTTCTCGGTTGCCTTCTTCCTCTCCTGCAAGACAGAATTAAACACATGTCATTGAAGACAGTGACCCTCCCTGTAAATTTAATGTTCAGACATCTAATTCAATTAGGCACTGCATTCTGGACTGCACTGTCCTTCCAAAGGGGAGATTCTTACAGACTTTGGATTGTGTTCCAGTAAAAAAAAAAAACATTTGCTTTTATAACAATTTCCTGTAACATTGCAGCCATTGTGTGTGGCTGTGGATGTATAGCTTTGTATATGTGCGTTCGCAGTGAGCTCACCAGACCCAGCTGCTCACTTGTGTGTAAAAAAGGAGCTCCCATGAGGACTTGCAGGGACAGGAGGAAGCCTCGTGGAACAGGAAGGAAAGCAATGTGTGGGAGAGAGGTGGCTATTTATTACCCTTTGATCTATTGTGGAGCAAGTTAGAATGTGTGTTATAGGATGTAGTGCTGATTTACAGTCTCGGGGCTCACGCAGTCCTTGCTGAGGGATATTTGGGTATCTCTCTCCAGGATGTAAGTGCTTAAAGACCGAGTTAAACAAAGTCTGCCTCTGCGTTGAAGCAGTAAGACTTTCAGCGCACTTACTGTAAAATAAAATCTGTTTTGCATGTCTACAGTGAGTACAATTTGCTCTGAAAGTTTATGGGAACATAAATCAGTGTTTAGTGGACGCCCCTGGTGTGGTGCTCTAAATAAATCCAATGTGGCTGACACAGTGTGTCTCCAAACTCAGACGAGAAGGAGGAAACCTGCTCAGGGCATGTGGTGGTGGCTGATGGTTTTTTAGAGGAACATTCCTCTCACTTTTGTCACCACATCTATTTCACCCCTTTGATGTTTTAAACCCAATAGTGAACGGTCAAGGGCAGGCTGGGATTACCACGATGGATTATCACACTTCATACACTCTACAGGGAAAAATGGAAAGGATGCGTAGATTCATCTGCATACAGCGTAATACACACTCACATAAGAATCTCACTGTCACTGAATGTGATGCTGTTGATATTTGGTTGTTTATCCCATCTGTAGCTGAGCCTCCGCTTCAGCACAAACACCACGCATTCTTTAAACTGCCACGGGACACACACACACAACTTCACCGTCCATTCTCTGGTAGGTTAATCTCCAGATCAAGCACACACACTGTGCTTGTTTAGCTTTTTACTGACATGGCTCACTTCAAAAGAAAGTAGCAAACATCGCCAAAAGGATGTCAGCTTTCTTCCTCACGCTAAAATAGGAGATGTACATATATATAAAAAAGTGAAAAACTGAAGGGAAGTCTTCAGAAACGTCCTACTTACAGTACATGAGGTCATTGTGACCCAGTTTTGCTTATGCAAGTGTCTGCTTGTGCTGGCAGCCTTCCTCCTCCTCCTCCTTCTCCTCCTCCTTCCCAGTATATTAACAAGCAGCCCACTCAACTAAATTCCCCCACTATTTATTGTTGGGCCTGAAGAACCTCTTTAGCATACCAGGCTCGTATTATGACGAGGATAACAAAAGCGTGTATCAACAGTTCCTTCCAATGGAGCGGAGTTTTAAAAAAAAAAACGAAGCTGGCGAGATAACATTAAAGGCACTACCTTGATCTCAGGCGAACATGTTAAGCCCTGTAACGAAACGTATTGGAAGTGTTTAATTACAGCCCGGGAAATGAAGCTACAAGATGATTCCTTAATTAAGCAGTGATTAAGGATTTTCTGCCTTCTATCTAACACAGTTTGCAGTGCATTTTAAACACAATCGCCCAGGCAACCTCACAGGGAACAATGTCACAGAGCTTTGATGAAGTTTCCTGCACAAATGTCACTGAGGAAAAAGCGCAGCTGCAGGAGAAGTGCTGCTGCAGCACTCTTTTACTTAGTCTGATGAAACCAGCAATAACGAGAAATATAAGGGTGTGTTTCATTATTTTAACAACAGCAGTTTTGAGCTGTCTGGTGGGAAAATGAAATTGAGGCGCTTCAATTTATTAACAGAAGTCCACTCTGAGTAACAGATCCTCCGTCTCGTTTTATTATTTGAACCCTCTCCAGTTCTTTAAAAAGAGACAGGATGTCAATGATCATCAGCTACATTATCGACTAGATAATTAATTTACGTCTGGCTTAGGTTCTCCTCCCTGTGCGGCCAAACGTATTCAAGGCTGAGTGAGAGGAGTCGAGGAGAGCAGAGGAGATGGGGAGGGCCGGAGAGGCGAGGTGGCCTGCTGTGCTCTGGGTTGGCGGGCATGGAAAAGAAGCCAGTGAGCTGTTAAAATCAGCCCTATCGCTGCTCTATCAAAGGACGGCTTTCTAGCCAAATCGCAGTCACACGCAGCGCGCCACACATGCAGGTCAATAAGCTTATAGGCGATTTACACAAACAATTCCTCGAGCAAGGTAGCAACAAAGTCATATTGGCTTTTTCCCTCCCTTTTAGCATTGTCTCTGCTAAGAAAGCCCTTGAAAATGTCAATCTCCTGCGTGTGATTTTAAGAAGCTCAGAGCACTCTAATCCTGACCACTGATTTTAAAGACCAGTCACAATTTCTGAAACCAGGGACCAAGTATTTTTAAGTAAAGTCTGCTGTTCTCTACTGGCTTTAAGGCTGGATGACTTTTACCAGCTGAGACTTTACCCATTTCTGCCTTGCTGGTGCTGGAGCTCGGCAATGATTGTCAGGATAGTAGGTGGGATGCTTGCCGTCCCCCCAGCAGCAGTCAGCTGATATTGAATATTTGGTTGTTGATGCAGATTGTGCTGCAACAGATGAAGTCAATTCCAGAAAGCAACCTTTTTCACAAAAGTCAAGCATAGCTGTAAGACTTCACCGCTATCTAAAAAATGGGTCTGAATTGCATGCAATTTGTGGCAGCCGCAGCACTCCAATGGAGGGAGGCTATTAGAGAGACGCCTCGCCACTGTCTCTTTAAATGCCAATAAATTCCCATCATTACAGAATCTGGCAGTTTTCCTCTCTGTCTGCAGCCTGGCTCTTTATCTCACTCTGCCTCAGTCTTTGAGCATGTAGATCTGGCCCAGTTAGATTGTCATACTTAACAAACATTAATGATTAATTTCCTCCACTGAGTCAAATGGGGCTAAAGGGATGACTCGATTCATCTTATCGCACCACAAATTAGCATTTCCCCATATTCTTCAGCATCAACTGTGCATAAAAATTCCACATTTACCATTCTGGGCACTGGCGGATGTGGTGAAAGAGCCCAGATCTTCCTTCAGTGTTGCTGGAGATTTTGATTATGTCTGTGTTACACAAAGACTAATTAATTCTGTGACTTTCTCTTTGCTACTCGCTAACTTTGGATAGAGCAAGTGAAATTCTTTACCAAGAGGATACTGAAGGGTCAAGGTGGGTTTGTTCATTTACAGAGCTCTGTCATGCAGCACTTGCTTGATAAAATGTTTGTCCCGTTGTAATTTCAGCACATAAGGGTACAAATGTTGGGCTTGATATACCCTGACACATAAAAGCAACTCAATCAAGTCAGAGCTTTAAAAAACATGTAATATAACATTGTAGAAGGGCTTTTACACAGAGGAAATGAGACACATGAACTGACATGTAAATTTACTGTCTGAGCTTAGAAAGGAAGTCATTTGTCATCAGACAAGACTTGGAACGTTCAAAGGGAACAGCTTGTGGCAACACCCTGCGATGAACTTCATATAGCCAACAATAAAAGAGAGGGTACAACAGCAAGGTGAAATTTCACTATTTCAGTAAAAAGAAAAAGGTGCTGCTAAAAGGAATCCTTCCTCCCCATTATAGAAACAGTTGTGTCAGGAGAGAGTAAATCTTTGCTGTGGAGCTGCTGTGCTGTTTTGTATGTTTTTCACAAAAAAGGGAGCTCTATAAATGTGTAACTGAGGGGAAGTTATTTGAAGTAAGATTTGTGTTTAATCACCTTGGAGAAGCAAGGTTATTTCTTTGGATGTCTGTTTTTTTTTTCCCACAGAGTTTCTTGATGGTAGACAGAGCTTCTTAAAAATGTCATGTATATTAAAACGTTTTTATTCTCCAAAGGGAGCAAATGTTTATTTCCCAAGTTTCAAAGTCAGTGTTTTAATTGTAATTGACAAGGAAGCATTCTTAGCTTTAGTGGTAAACAGAAAGTTTAACCTTGGAAAATGTAGAGTTGCTGGTAATGACGATGATGCTGCATTACTGTGTGAAATAAAACACAGCTTTAAGTGGAGCTGGTAGCATGATATCAAACAGTAAATTAATATTTCTAAGCAAAATATTGTAGTAAATGGCCAGATTTGTTGTGGTTAAAGTATAATTGAGATATTTGAATGTACAATTTACAAAGTTGTCACAGATGTTACAGAGAAATTCTGGCAACTATAGCTACCGGTAAATAACTATAAACTTGACATATAAAACACAATAATAAGTTTTACAGTTGTTTTTATGTTTTTATTTTAATATACATATATACTTTGTACACACACACACACACACATATATATATATATATATATATATATATATATATATATATTTATATATGTATATGTATGTATATATATATATATAAATAGATAGATAGATATACATATACATACTTACATATATTTATATACACTTAGATTTACAATATTTTTTGTTGTTTTACAACAATTTAACAATTAAGTGTAGCAACTTGGGCTACAGGGTGGTGCAGTTGGTAGAGCTGTTGCCTCTCAGTGAGCAGGTCGCCAAATCAAATCCCAGCCAGGGGCCTTTCTGGGTGGAGTTTGCATGTTCTCTCTGTGCATGTGTGGGTTTTCTCCGGGTACTCCAGTTTCCTCCCACAGATCAAAAACATGCATGTTGGGCTGATTGGTAACTCTAAATTGTCCCTAGGTGTGAGTGAGAGAGTGAATGGTTGTTTGTCTCGTTTGTCTCTATGTGTCCTTGTGATGGACTGGAGACGCGTCCAGGTGATTCCCGCTTCTTGCAGTGATAGCTGGTTGTGGACACCAGTGACCCCCTTGTGTAACAACTCCCTTTTGCCACATTACTGCGTACAGTAGTGCATCGCTACTTTGAGGTTTGTATTTCGCGGACTCAGTCACTCTATTGGGGTTTTTCAAAATAAGATTGGACATGACACACAATTGGTTCACTGATGGATGAGCTGCACAATCGGCATGGAATTTTTATTTAAAATAAATAATTTTAAATATTTTAAAAGGAAATGAAATTTCCTCCTGCAGCTCCTCCTCCCTCCTCGTTCCTCCCATGTCGATCTCCGTTCTGTATAGAAGTGGGTGTGGCCGAGAGCGCAGAGTGCAGCCGTGGCAGAGAGCTGACATCATGACATTCTGTGCTCTTTTAGAGCTTTAGAGTTTAGAAACATTGTTTAGAATATTGCAAGAGTGTGGGAAGGGTTTAAAACAGACCCTTTCCAAAAAATTAGAACATCATGGAAAAGTTGTTAAACTTCCATAATAACATTCAAAAAGTTAATCTTTAATAGATGATAGATTCAGGGCCCACA